GCAGGACCCACAGCAGCCTATCCCCAGCAGGGACAGGAAGGGCTCGGGTGCTAATCCGTGCCGGCTGCCCACTGCTGACTCAGCCCAGGACGTCGCCTTCCACTTGACCTATATTTGGTGGGAGTTGTGGGGAGGGAAAGGGATTCGTGGGTTGTGGGTAGAGAGCACCTGCCCGAGCCGTACCTTGCTGATGGCCCTCAGCACCGTGGAATAGGACACCATCTACAACACACAAAGCCAAAACAAGCGCGGTGTCACACGGGGGCCGTGCCAGCGCCGCGCTCGTTGCCGAGGAACGGCAAGGTCAGGGCACGGCCCCGCTGCCTGTCACCGCAGACGGGGCCGGGGCCGGGGCGCTGACCCGGCACAAATCCAAACAGACATTTTTAGGTGATCGCTGATGTGTTTCACACAAACTTTAGGCGATATTAAACGCCGGGATGTGGAAGCGCGGAGCTCACGGCGAGCGCGGAGGCTCTCGGGGGGCAGAATTCCCACCCCGGGCGGTGGCAGAGGCTATTTATGGAAACATCCCTGCCTGGGGCACGCGCTGAGCCCTCCTCCGCCCGCCCCAGCTCTGGAAAGGCTCAGGTGGGGGACTTGGGGTGTCTGCCCAGCCCAGGACAGGCTCAGATGGGGAATTTGGGGTGTCTGCCCACCACCAGCATCCCAGTTTCTTTGTTAAGAACCTCACTGGGGCTGGGAGGTGTCCCACAGTAGTGCCAGCAGATCCTTACCTGGGAGCTGATGGCATATTTCAAGTAGGACAAGATGAGTGGGTTTGGGGATGGCCCGATCATGGCCTGTTCCAGGAGAGCCTCTGCAAGGAAAGAGAGGGGCCGGGGGGTCCCAGGTCAGCATGTGGGGACACAGGTACACACAGACACGCTGCTCTGCCCTCACCCCAGAGTGAAGCCGGCAAAGCCCAACTGTGTCAACCACAGTGACTCCGCACCACCTTTCCCCAAAATTCACTGAATCCCACAACTTTCTAATCCCCGATGGCACAAGCCAGTGAATAATTCAGGCTTAGCCTCCTGCTAACTCAGCTCTCCCAGGCACTCTGGCCCCAAAACTGCGCCTGCTGCTCTCCGAACACATTCCCCTCCCTCCCACCTCCTGCCCCACAGCCTCCACCGAGTGGCTTTTGCGCGGGCACCCGGGGCTGAGCTCGGGGCTGCCAGTCCCCTGCGCTGGGCCCGGCCCTGCCCGTCTGGCCCTCGGTGGCCCGAGGGGCTCTGCCCGTCCCATCTGCTCAGCCAAGCCTTTAATTGCCCATTTGAGCCATGGCAGAGCGCAGGAAGCACCTCCCCGAGCAGGCCCCGGGCTGTGGCTCGGGCTGCAAGTAGGTCAGAGCACCCAGATGTAAAAGGGGGAGCAGCAGCCGGGTGGGAAGTTGTCGCCCCAAAGCCGAGGAGGAGCCGCCGGCGGATCCCGAGCGCGGGAGCAGGAGACTCCCTGGGTCTCGCTCCAAGGCTCAGACCTGGGCCAAGAGCGTCTGGGATGAGGACAGAAGGTGGTGGCAGCCGTCCCCTCCCCAGCCCAGCCCAGAGTGCCACCACGAGCCAGCCACATGCTGCTCCCCGCTGCAGACGTGTCAGCAGCGATCTGCCGGCCCTGCCGTGAGCCCGGCAGCCTGTGCCAGCTTTCCCTCCTTTGTACTTCCAAAGCTGAAAGGCACAAGCTTGGGGAAGGACAGCTCTGGGCACTGTGGTGAGGAAGGGAGCTGCTGTTCCAGCCATGGGGGCCTCGGGAATAGGCTCTCCCTGTGTGCTCGGAGTCGGGGTTGGCATCCTGCCTTTGGGGCTCCCAAAAGGAAAAGGGGACATGGCTCCTTCCCCTCCTGGCATATGGGCTGCCCCCAACAAAGCCTGGGCTGCTGAGCCTTCCCCTGGCTGAGTGTGGGCCAGGAGAAACCTGTTCCTACAGAAATCACAGGGAATTACCATCTCTGGCCCTGTTTTTGGGGATACGCAGACGAGCCCACGCCAAGCACCCCACAGGCCTCGCTGCCAGCAGAGCAGGAGCTGGTGCCACCAGGGTGGGAACAGGCACCAGGGAGCCCCAGGGACCAGCTGGGCAGCAGCAGGAATGGCCCTCCAGCCAACCACCCCCACACCCAGCAAATCCATCCAAAGCAAATCCATCTCCCCACAGCCACAGCTCCTGCTCGGCCCCTCCAGCCCCACATGAGAGGGGACAAACCCGGCCAGAGCAGCTCAGGGTGTGACAAAACCCAGACACTGTCAGAAAAACCACTGGAAGGGTGGAGAGAGGGGAAAAATATCCACTGGGGAAAGATTTCCCCCTTGGAAGCATGAGATCTGCTGCCTATGTGGGGCTGGTTCCCTTTAAACCCCCCAGAGCAGCGATCCCTGGCTCTGTTTATTTATCCAGGGACGTGCTGCACAGGGAAAATCCCAGCACCAAATTTCTATAATTAGCAGGAGAGCCTGGCAAATCTTTAAACCAAAGGTCCCAGCCTTTGGCAGGATTTGTGTGAAATGCCCTTGAACTGGACTGGGAAAAGGAACCCCCCCCCCAGCCAGAGTGGGAAGCGGCCTCGGGAGCAGCAGCTGGCTCCTGTGCAGGGAAAGAACCAGGGAATCAGGGAATCATTAAGGCTGGAAAGACCTCGAGCATCACCAAGTCCAACCTTTAACCAGCACTGCCATGTCACCACTAGTCCGTGCCCCCAAGTGCCACATCCACATGTTTCTGAACCCTTCTAGGGATGGTGACTCCACCACAGCCTGTTCCAATGCCTGACCACCTTTTCCACAAAGAAATCTCCCCTAATATCCAGTCTAATCCCCTCCTGGCAAAACTCAGTCCCAAAAGCCAGGTTGCATGGACTCCTGAACCCTCACAGGGGGAAAAAGGAGGGGAATGACCCCAAAATGGATCCAAAGGGCTGGGGGAACACTCAGGAATGGGTTAAAGGGGTTGGAAAAGAGCATTTTGGCATGAAAAGTAGTGTGGGAAGGGGGTGGAGGGGCCCAAAATGCAACAGAGACCTCCAAAATACCCTTGTCTGCAGCCCAGAGGGTTGACACCCCAAAACCCACCCCCAGAACACCTCTGTGTGCCCAGCGAGGAGGGGAAAGCCCCCCAGCCCCCCGGACCTGCCAGGTTGAGGATGTCCCAGGTAGCTCCGCGGGGGAAGAACCGCTTCATGTTTATGGCCCATTGGTAGTCGCTCCATCGCTCCTTCCAGGCCTGAAGGATGGCCTGCTTCAGGTTCACCACCTTCATGGTCACCCTGCGGACGGAGAGCTCAGGGGGGACGGAGCCCTCTCCCCCACCGGGAAGGGCAGAGCGGGCCCGAGGGGCAGCGGGCCCGGCGGGGAGCGCGGCCCAGCGGCTCCGGGGGGAACGGCCGAGGGGCCCGCCCTCTTCCCGGGGCCGGGGGGTGCTCGGGGGCGCTCGGAGCCGCCCCAGTGCCCGCAGGTCCCGCCGGTCCCCCCTCGGCCCTCACCGTGTCCCGGCGCCGCCGAGCGCCTCCCTTAGCGCCTGGGCACCGCCATGGCGGCACCTACCAACAAGCCGCGCGCTGATTGGGCAGCAGGGCACTCCGGGCGCGGGGGGTGATGGGAGTTGTAGTTCGAGAGGGGCTGGGGCGGGAGCGGGGGTGGAAATGGGGGGCGGGGGTGGAAATAGTAGGAGTAAGTGTGCAAATACGGGTGGGGTGTGCAGACATGGAGTGTGTGAAAACAAGGTGGGTGGAGCAGGGTTTGAGTGTGAAAAATTGGATTGTGCAAACGGAGTGAGTGTGAAAACGGGCGGTGACTGTGCAGGCGGGGGGAGGCAGAAAACAGGAGGGTGGGTGTGAAAACTGGGAGGGGGCAAACACGGAGGTGTGGGTGTGAAAACGGAGGGGGTTGTGCAAACGTGGTGGTGAGTGTGCAAACGCAGGAGTGAGTGTGCAAACCCGGGATTGGCAAACAAGGGGGTGCAAGACAGGGTGTAACTGGATGAGTGTGCAAATGGATACCCTGGTGTGGGAGGGCAGGCGTGCACACAGGCACGCGTGTATGAGCTGCCTTCCCTCCCCCACGCGTGTGTGTGCACCCAGGGCCATGTGTGCACCCAGACACGTCTGTAGACGCGCGGGGAGTGTGCATGTTCCTGCACACGTGTGCACACGCAGACACACGTGTGCTCCTGTGTGCAGACAGAGGCCCACGGGCAGGGTGCACACAGGTACCTGTGCATGGGTGCAAACACACACAGGTGTGCACACGTGTGTGCCTGCACGTGTGTGATCAGAGGTGTGTGCACAGACACGTGTGTGCTCCCGTGTGCAGACACAGACACGTGTGGGCAGAGTGCACACACCTCCACACAGGTACCCACCTGGATACACACACACAGGTGTGCACAGGAGTGTACTGCAGACACACGCGTGTGCACACACGTGTCACAGCCATGGGCTTGGGCTGCCCACCCACCCCTTCCCTGCAGCACCAGCAGCTAAAAATATCCCCAGGGACGGTGCCAGCCATCGCCATGGCAACGGGAGGATGGGGAGCAGGGCTGGGGGGGGGGCAGCCCCCTGGAACCCCCATCCCCCCAGGACCCCTAGGATCCCAACACCCCCAGAACCCCCAGAATGTGCCCAGCAGCCCCCCAGCAGCCCCAACACCCCACAACCCTCAGCACCCCAGAACCCCCAGCCCCCTAACACCCTACAACCCCCAGCACCCCCACAACACTCCCAGCTCCCCAACACCCCCAGTACCCCCAGAACACCCCAAGGGAGCCCCACACCTCTCAGGAGCAGGGTGAAGCCCCCCAGGGTGCCAGGGTGGGAGCCCAGTCACCCACTGCCCCCCCCGGCCCTGCCCGGGGGGGGCTCCACGGCCCCTTAATTCCCCAGTTAATCATTCATGGGGCCGGGGCGCAGCAAATCCCCCCGCGCCGGGGCCGGGATTAGGCGGGCGAGCGGCTGCCCAGCCGGCGAGGGGCCCCGGCAGCGGGGGGGTCCCACTGGGGGGGGCCCTGTCCATGAGGAGGGATTTCCTGTGCCGGGGGGGGGGGCCCACTCCCCGCAGCTGGCGGGGGAACAAACACCACGGGGGTCTCCAGGCAGGAGGGGACCAGAGGAGCTTCCCTGACACCCCCCACGGCACAGCACCCCCAAACCCTGGGGGGCAGGGGCTTCTGCCCTGGTGGGGTAGGGGGGCAGTGGGGGGGTGCGTGGGGGGTCGCAGCCCCCCGGGGCACTGGGGGGGCGGCCAGGCAGGGGGAAGGCGTCGAGGCCTCGGCGCCTTGGCAGGACGCCCCGGCACAGCTGCCTCCGGCCTGGGGCCGGGGGGGCCGGAAGGGGCCGGGGCTGTTCCCAGCGCCAGGGGCAGGCGGGGGGCGAGCGGGGGCCAGCACTGGGGGCTTCTCCTTCCCACGGGGTCACTGGGGCGACCAGGCCCCCCATTGCCAGGCCCTGCTGGGGGACACATGGCTGGCTCCCAGTGTTTGGCCGGGTGCGAAGGGTCTGATCCAGAGCCTGGGGACACCCTGGACCCCCCGGCTGTGGTGGGTGCTGCCCCATGGGGGTCTCCGGTGCTGCGGATGGTGCCCGGTGTCACCCCCATCCTGGGGGTCCGGGGGGGCTGCACTGCTGGCTCAGGGCTATATTTAGTGTCTCTGCTGCAGAGCAGCAGGATGAATTTTAATGAGCATGTTCCGGCCAAGCGCCTGCGCCCCAAGAACACCATGGCCCTTCTGCATCCCAAATCCCCCTGGATCAGGGTCTGCTGCAGGGCAGGGGGTCCCCACCCTGCTGAGGGGACACAGAGAGGTCTGAGCTGGCACTGGGGACACCTCATGTGGTATGAAGGGCTGCTGAGGAGTGTGAGAGGTGCCTGTCCCTGCTACTGGGGTTCCGCAGGTGAACCCCAGCCCTGCCTCACTGTCCCTGTCGGGGTGGAGGGTGCTGGACGGCCACGGGCAGGGGGATTTGGGGACACGGCGTGGTGCTGAGGTGGCCGAGCCCTGTGGGCCGGGGCAGGCAGGCTCAGCCACTGCCTTATCGCGGGCAGACGGTGTCGGGGGGCCGCGGCCACGCCGTGTTTGCCGAGGATAAAGTGTACGGAACAGGCAGAACGGGACGGGGGGGCCGTCACGCTGCCGCTGCCCCCGCCACGCTGGGACTTCCAGCCATGGGGACGGGGGGCCCAGGGTGACACAGGGACTAGGGGGCCCATAGGGGCTACAGGAACCATGGGGCTGTGGGGGACCAGGGGCAGCAGGGGGTCCAGAGGGCCCAGGGGGGGCTGTGGGGACACCCACCAGCAGCCCAGGGTGTCACTCTGCCCCGTGCCCTGGGGACCCTCATCTTCTGGGGACCCTCATTGCCTGGGGACCACCATCCTCGAGGACCACCATCCCCTGGGGACCTCTGTCCCCCACATGGCATTGTCCCCTTGTTGACCCCATTCTGAGCAGCACCATTCCCTGAGAGCCGCTGTGCTCAGGGGATCCCCCTCCCCTGGGTGCTGCCTGAGCACCCCGAGTATCCCCATCCCCTAGGGCCCCCCCACGGAAATCTTCATCCCTTGAGGACCCCCACGCTCCTGAAAGCCTTCATCCCCAGGGGCCCCCCGTCCCCCTCATTCCCTGGGTGCCACCGCCCCGCCTGTGCAGCCCAGGGAGGGGGGTACCCACGGGGTTGGAGGGTGGGGGGCGGCCAGGCCGAGCCCCCGAGGGTCCCAGGGTTGAGCTGCGGGGCGTTGGGCTGGGGGGGGGACCGGCAGCAGCGCTTTAAGCCCGGGCATGACGGGACGTGTAGTCCGGGGGGGAGAAGGGGGGGCTGGGAGCAGGGACTGCTGGGAAGGGGGTGGGGTGGGACGAGCGGGTCGGGGGGCTCCGTTGGGGGGACCCCCAGCGCCCTCTTCTGTGAGCCCCCCGGGCTTCCAGTGCACGCCACCCCCAGCACCACGGCGGGGTCCGGCTGCGGCCCCACAGCGGGGTCCGGACCCCCAGCCCCCCAGATCCCCCGGGGGGCGCAGGGGCAGGGCCCCCCGACGTGCTGGTGTCCCGCGGGGCCGGATCCCGCCCGGGGCGGTGCAGGGCCGAGTGAGACCCCCGTTTCCGGTGTGTGCCGTCCCGCGGGGCCGGTCTGGGCATCCTGGGGTGCGGAGCTGCCCCCCGCCCCGTGGGCACCGTTCCCACCCCCCGTGGGCACCGTCTCAGCTCCCCATGAGCATCATCTCCACCCCATCGCCACTCCCCCTGGGCATCGTCCCCAGCTCCCTCGGGTGCTGTTCCCAAACACTGCGGGCAGCGTCCCCAGTCCCCATTGTCACTGTCACAACATGCCCGTGGGTGCTGTCCCCATCTCCCTGTCGGTGCTGTCCCCATCCCCCGTGCACGCCCCGTTGTCACTGTCACAGCATTCCCGTGGGTGCTGTCCCCAGTCCCTGTGGACACCATCCCCACCCCGCCACGGGCATCATCCTGGGCCTCCGTGGGCACCGTCCCCGGCCCCCCTTGGGTACAGCCCCCCACTCTGTGGTCACCATTCCCCATCCCCGTTGTCACTGTCACGACATCCCCGTGGGCACCGTCCCAAACTCCTGTGGTCACCACCTTCACCCCACCACGGGCACCATCCCCGGGGCCCTGCGGGGACCGTCCCCAGCTCCCCGTGGGTGCCGTCCCCAACCCCCGTGGGCACAGCTCCCAGCCCCCACTATGTACAGCCCCCCACCCTTGTGCTCCGTCCCCGTTGTCACTGTCACCACATCCCCGCGGGCACCGCCAGGGCTCCCATCACGCACTCGGCCACGGGCACCGTCCCCACCCCGTGATCCCCGTGCCCGGCGCACACAATCCCGGGGGGGTGGGGGGGACCACCCTCCCGCGGTCCCCGCCGCTCCCCCGTGGGTCCCCACGCGGGGCCGGGCGCGGCGGGTGCAGGGAGCGGCTGCGGCCGGCGGAGGGGGCTGCGGCCGCGGCGGAGCGGAGCGGGCGGGCGGCGGGGCCGGGGGAGGGAGGAGCCAGCGCCGTTCGTCCGCCGCCGCCGCCGCCGCTGCGCCCCGCTCCGCTCCGCGCCCCGCACCGCCGCTCCGCGCCCCGCTCCGCGCCCCGCACCGCCGCCCCGC